TACAATGTTGAGACTGGCTTGGATTCTGCTTGACTCCCGGAATGCCTTCAGTGGGGCCAGGAGGCCGATCCCCTCCCCCAAAGCTTGAGGGGAGGGTTGTGGGCCTCACCTCGGTCCCGGGACCCCTATTCGATGTCCTGCCCAGTCAGTTTGGCTAGCATCCTCGCAAAAAGAGAAGAGAATATTTGTAGCTCGGTGTTGAGAATTACACTTCTCAGAGCTTAGTAGGTTTCCTGCAGACGTTTCATTACCTAAATAGGTAACGTCATCAGTGGCAGAAGGGAAGGGGGATTGCAGAGAGGAGGAAGATGACGGTGGGGTTCTTGGTGCTCTCCGAGCTTGGGTGCTTTTCTTGCAGACATTTCATGACCCAACTAGGGAACATCATCAGTGCTAGAAGGGAGGGGGGTTTGTGGAGGGGAGGAGGAGGAGGAGAAGGAGGAGGAGGAGGAGGAGGAGGAGGACCTTGGTGTTGAGGTTGGTGGTTTTCTTGCAGACGTTTCATGACCCAACTAGGGAACATCAACAGTGGTAGAAGGGAGGGGGGTTTGTGGAGAGGAGGAGGAGGAGGAAGAAAAGGAGGAGGGAGGGAGGAAGAGGAGGAAGATGACGGTGGGGTCCTTGGTGCTCTCTGAGCTTGGGTGCTTTTCTTGCAGACGTTTCATGACCCAACTAGGGAACATCATCAGTGCAAAGGAGTGTGGGGTTTCCTCCCCGTTTATATGCAGTCTCTTGCCCTGCCAATGTTAGTTGGGGGGTTGGAGTTTGCCAATAGATAAACAGATTATCAGCCATCATTAAACACCTAGAGATACTAAGCACATGTACAGACCGTTCCAAAGAGTCATTAAAAAAAAAAAAAAGATTGTTTTTCTGGTGTGAATCTCTGCTTCTCTGGGTATTCTAGTTTTAACACACCCTCTCCAGCAGCCAAACACCCAGAGAAGCAGGGATTCACACCAGACAAACTATCAAGCAGAAAACACTGGCCTAACCAAGGAACTATCAAGGAAGAAAACTCACATCATCAACACGGGCAGGACAAGTCACCAGTGGTGGGTTGCTCCCGGTTCGCACCGGTTTGCAAGAACCGGTAGTAAAAATTTGTAGTAGTTTGGAGAACCGGTAATAACATTGGCTGGCCACGCCCCCGAACCGGTCCCCGGTCCGGTCGCCACTCGCTTACCCCGCCCATCTCATCAGAGGCTCTTTTTTTTTTTTACTTTTAAAAGCATTTTTTCTACAACCTCTTTGGCCGAAGAGGTTGTAGAAAAAAAAAAGTGTTTAAAAGCCTCTGGCGATCCCAGCTGAGTTGCCTGATCGTCAGAGGCTTCTAAAAGCATTGTTTTCTGCAGCCTCTTAAGGTTGTAGAAAAAAATGGTTTTAAAAGTTAAAAAAAAAAAAAGTTGGCCACGCCCACCCAGTCACATTACCCCCCCCAACAAGTTACGCCCATAAAATAAGCCACGCCCACAGAACCGGTAGTAAAAAAATTTAGAACCCACCCCTGCAAGTCACTGTATATAAACAAGAGAGCAAAACCCCGCATTCCCTGGCACTGATAATATTCCCTAGTTCGGTAATGAAACGTCCGTAAGGAAACACCCAAGCTCAGAGACCACCAAGGACCGCCTCCTCCTCCTCTTTGCAAACCCCTCTCCCTTCTACCCTCATGATATTCCCTAGTTGGGTAATGAAACGTCTGCAAGAAAAGCACGAAGCTCAGAGAGCACCAAGGGCCCCACAATCTTCCTCCTGCTCCCCTTCCTTCCTTCCTTCCTTCCTTCCTTCCTTCCTTCCTTCCTTCCTTCCTTCCTTCCTTCCTTCCTTTCTTTCTCCCCCACTTAACAGCAATTTGTGGTGCTTACGGGGTGGGGTGGAGGGGGAACGGCTGCTTGCAGCTCCCGCGATCTCAAGAGGCCGTAAAGTTCTCCTAGGTTTTCCTGGAGAAGCTTAAAATGAGCGTGGAGACGCGGGAGATCGACCAACGGGAAAAGGAGATCATACGGACGACGGCACTGAATGTCTGCCAAGGAGGGTATCATAAATACCAACCCTGGAAGCGCCCACCGGCAGCGATCCAACCACGGGGAGCCCCTTCGGGTGTCTCTTTTATTTCCTGTCTCGTTTTCCCACAAAATTTCATGACTGCCTGGGGGAGGAACCTCGGATCTTCTCCAGATCTGGACAAATGGGAGGCGATATGGAACAGGAATATGAATCTTACTTTGGCAACCCCCTACAAGGAAAATATCTATAAAATGATCTATCGTTGGCACATCCTCCCGACAAGAATTGCAAAAATGTTCCCGGGAGCTTCTCCGGCATGTTGGAAGTGTGGGAACAGTAATGGGACATACCATCACCAATGGTGGACCTGCCCTAAAGCAGGCAAATATTGGGCCAAGTTCCGGAACTGGATAGTGGAAATTACAAGTTACAATATAGAGCTGAAACCAGAAGTTTTCTTATTGGGAATGAAACCAGATAAAATAACTAAGGAAAAATGGTACTTGATCCTCCACATCACTATTGCAGCTAGGATATTATACGCGCAAGAGTGGAAAAATGAACTAATACCCACAGAGAATAAACTGATTTGGAAAATTTCAGAATGCGCAGAGGCCGATCGGTTAACGAAATTACTTAGGAACCAAAAAGATCCTCATTATTACAAATGTTGGAGCCTATGGTATACTTGGGTGAAAGAAAAGAGAGGGAAATGAAATGGATCTTATCAGTGATCTAAATTGTATAGGCCAGTTCAAACCTACTTCCAAACCTACAACTATACTATGAAGCAGCAGCTTTGACGCAAGCAAGTGACTGGTTTGGAAGAAAAAAGACTGGAATATTGAATATAGAAAGTTATGATCTTGAACTTGGTTGGCATGCATACTTATTTTATGAGAACAAAGTGGATAAAGTATTTAAAAGCCACATACTCAGAAATTCTTTGATGAGAGTTTGGAGGAAGCACCGACTCAAATGGGATTATAAAATACCGTTATGACTGGATCTTGGTCATATCATATGGAATACAAATATAATGTCACTCGGGGGGGGGTTTATATAAAGAAGTTCTTTTTGCAGATGCGGGCAGATGGCAACTGAAGACATCAGAAACGCTGTTGGAAGAAGGGATTAATTTAACCTGGTTGCAGTATAATCAACTTCAATTGAGATGGAAAGAGGACCAAAAAATTGGTATAATGATGCATGAAGAAGAATTGGTTAGACATATAAAAGAGAAAGGTCCAATGCATATTAAAAGGGTTTATAATGTTTTGTTAGAAAGGGATTCAGAAACTGAACTGGTTAAAGATTGTATGATAAAGTGGGCACAAAATTTTGCAGAACCAGTGATGTTGGAAACGTGGGAAAAATATGGGTTCAGAATGTTAAATTTACACAGTCGCAGAACTTGAGGGAAAATTTTTATAAAATGTTTTATAGGTGGCATTTAGATCCTAAGAAACTATCGTGTATGTATCCTAATGTTCAACCAAAATGCTGGAGATGTGATTGCTTAGATGCCACATATTACCATATGTGGTGGACTTGTAAGAAAGTGAAGGCTTTTTGGATAAAAATTTGGTGGGTTATGCAAAACGTTTTGAAGAAAAAACTACAGTTTTCTCCACAATTGTTTTTACTGGGTATAGTTAAGGGTTTCACATTGGATGAAACAAAGTTGATACTGTATATGGTGACAGCAGCGAGATTATTGATAGGTAAATACTGGAAAAATGAAGCTTTGCCCACTATTGATGAATGGACTTTGGAGATGGCCAGTTTTGCAGAAATGGCGACGATCTCAGCATATCTAAAAGATCGCTCACAAGAGACTTATGTATGGGAGTGGAAAAAGTGGATAGATTATGTGCAGAATAAATATCAAATTAGGAAATATCAGATAGCTTTTAACTGAATGTATTATATAGAGATAGAATGATTGAATTTTGAGAAGATCTGAAAAATAAAAGGGGGTGGAGGGGTTCAAGTTTTATAAAATATGTTTTTGATTTGGATTATATTCTGTGGAAGTCCTGGGGGGAGGGGAGGGTTAGGGAGGGTTAGGGGGGGAAATTGGGGAGAAAATGTATTTATAAAACTTTTTCAATAAAAAAAATATATATAATAAATTGTATAGGCCAGTGATGGCTAACCTTTTTGCTGTCGCGTGCCAAAAGTGGGGGGAGCGTGGGGGGTCGTGGGTGCGGGTGCCCACATCCATAATTCAATGTGCCCGCCCTCCCGCGCATGTGACCCCCCACTTCCCCCTGCTTTTGGCACGTGATGGCACGGTGGGCACGGTAGGCCCGTTTTTCCCCCTCCCCAGGCTCCAGAGGCTTTCTAGGAGCCTGGGGAGGGCAAAAACAGCCTTCCCCATCCCCCCGGAGGCCTTCCAGAGGCCGGAAATAGCCAGTTTCCCAACTTCTGGTGGGACCGGAAGGCCTGAAAATCAGTTGGCTGGTGTGTGCATGTGCGCTGGAGCTGAGCTAAGGCAACACTCGTGTGCCCACCAATATGGCTCCGCGTGCCACCTGTGGCACCCGTGCCATAGGTTCGCCATCACGGGTATAGGCGCATATTTGTGTACGTTCGTTGCAATAACTTTGTATGTATATATGTAAAGAATTGGTTTTTTAAAAATGGAAATAAACTTATTTTTTAAAAAAAAATTGTCACAGCCTCTTCCCAGGAATGCAAAACATTTCGGCTCCTTTGGCAGGAGATTACAGGCAGTCCTTGACTTACAACTAAAAAATTGAGCCGCTAAGTGAGACAGTTGTGAGAGAGAGTGACCATTTTCCCGTTTTACAACCTTTCCTGCCACAGCCGTTGAGTGAATCCCCCACGGTCGTTAAGCAAGTCACAGGGTCTTTAAGCGAATCCGGCTTCCCCCATTGACTTTTCTTGTCAGAAGGTGGCAAAAGGGGTCATGTGACCCCTGGGACACTGAAACTGTCATAAGTACATGTCAGTTGCCAACTGTCTGAATTTTGTTTGTTTCTTTGTTTTTAATTTTTTATTGAAATTTATTATAATACAATACAGTACAATCAGTCAGACAGTGTTATTTTTCTACACAGGTTAGATTGATTCTTCTTTTACTTTTCATCATAATATAACGTAATTTACATATGCATTTTAAGATTTATATTAACTTTTATCTATTCTTTATTCTATTATCAATCCACCTGTACCAATCATCCCACACCGTATAATATTCTGAGTCTTCTTTCTCATTTAATTCTAACGTTAATTTGTTCATTTCGGCACATTCTAGAACCTTCTGAATAATATGTTCCTCTGGTGGTGTGTCCTTTCCTTTCCAATACTGGGCGTAGGCTATTCTTGCTTCAGTGAGTATATGTACGATTAAATATCTTTTTTCTCCCCCGGTATTTCGTCTTTAGTATTCCCAGGAGAAATGTTTCAAGTATCAATTTGATTTTTTCATTGGTTGATTCTTGTAGCCAATTTTGAATTTTTCTCCAATACATCATCACTTCGGGACAGGACCACCACATGTGAAAGAAGGTACCTTGGTGAAATCCACACTTCCAACATTTGGGGCTTACATTTGGATAGATTTTTGCTAATCTTGCGGGCGCTAGGTGCCATCTGTATAGCATTTTATATTGATCATCATGTGACCACAATGGTCATAAGTGTGAAAAATGGTCATAGGTCGCTTTGTTCAGCGCTGTTGTAACTTCGAACAGCCATTAAATGAACTGTTGTAGGTCGAGGCCTACCTGTAATACTATTCAAGGTTGACACTGACGGACAGGTAAAGCAGCCAGGAATTTAGCGGAGGCATTTAATAGAAAGCACACCATCGGGGTTGGAGGCACAGCATTTGAGGGGAGGGGGCTTTGCACTTCTTCCATCACAAAGGAGCCCTTCATCTCCCACCCTAAGACAGTGTTTTTTTTCCTCCAGCAGCACCTCTTAAGATCTTGGCAAAATGCGGAGATCAAGTCATGGAGCCAGTTCGGACGGACCATCGTGAAGTTGCCGCGGGAAATGTTTTCACAAGCTAGCTTTGGGGGGGCCCCGGAAGCGGCTGAGCCGAAAGGGGGTGAGGTCGTAAGTGGGCTGCTCCCCCAGACTCAGTTCACACAGGATCTTTCCCACGACCGGTGCAAACTTGAACCCGTGGCCTGCGGAAGAGACAAAAGGCAGAAATTGGATGCATAATTCCCTCCTTCACTTCCTTTCCTTCCCCTTCTTGTAGTCCTTGACTTACAACCATTCTTTTAGCGACCATACAATGGCACTGGGGAAAAAAAGCGTCTTGTGACTGTTTTTCGCACTTACGACTGTTGCGGCCTCCCTGCGGTCTCGTGATCAAAATTCAGGGGCTTGGCAACTGACTCGTATTTATGACGGTGGCAGTGTCCCCTGGGTCATTGTGATCCCCTTTTGCGTCCTTCTGACAAGCAGGAAGCCAGATTCTCTTTACAACTGCGTTACTCACTTAACAACCAAAGCGATTCACTTATGAGATGTTGCAAGCAAGGTTGTAAAATGGGGCACAACCCACTGAATAGAATGAATATGAGAATGGAATGGAATGGAATGGAATAGAATAGACGAGGGGAGGGAGGGGAGGGGTGGAGAGAAGAGAAGAGAAGAAAAGGGAAGAGGAGAGGAGAGGAGAGGAGAAGAGAAGGGAAGAGAAAATAGAGAAGGGAAGGGAAGGGAAGGGAAGGGAAGAGGAGAGGAGAGGAGAGGAGAGGAGAGGAGAGGAGAAGAGAAGAGAAGAGAGAAGAGAAGAGAAAATAGAGAAGGGAAGGGAAGGGAAGGCAAGGGAAGGGAAGAGAAGAGGAGAGGAGAGAAGAGGAGAAGAGAAGAGAAGAGAAGCTGGAAGGGACTTTGGAGGTCTTCTAGTCCAGCCCCCTGCTCAGGCAGAACCTATACCATTTCAGATAAGTGACTGTCTAGACCCTTCTTAAAAAACCTCCAGTGAGGGAGCACCCACACCTTCTGGTGGCCAGCTGTTCCACTGGTTAACTGTCCTCACTGCTGGGAAGTTTCCCCTTAATTGCAAGCTCTTGCAGAAAGATAGACTGTGCTTGAATAGAAGGCTTTCCTGGCGAATAGCTCCTGAAGAGAGACTCCAGGATAAAAGAATCCCCTTTTAGTGAGCGATAACCTTCCTTCCTCTCTTCTCCGACCCCCCCGGCCCCCCCAGCCCCCTTTACCTGAAAACCCGGCTCCGATGACAATGTTTTCAAAACGGGGGTGTCGGTCCAGAATGAAGTCCCTGTCTGGAGTGTTCTGGAGGGGAGATGGGGAAAAAGTAAATGTCAGATGAAATTCAGGTTTAGATTTTATGGGGGGAGGTGGGAGTCAGCTTCTGGGTGGCTGGGATGACACGTGGTACCACATAGATCAAGGGTGGGCAACGACGCCAACTTAAGACCTGCGGACTACAACTCCCAGAATTCCTGAGACAGACAGATTGTGGGCTGGATGAGCAAAACAGGCGATAAATCTATGTATTTATATCCATCTGTCTGTCTATCTCTCTCTCTCCATCCATCCATCCATCTACCTCTCTCTCTCTCATCTATCTATCTATCTATCTATCTATCTATCTATCTATCTATCTATCATCTATCTATCTATCTCTGTATCTCTCTCTCTCATCTCTCTCTCTCTCTCTATCATCTCTCTCTATCATCTCTCTCTATCTATCCATCCATCCATCCATCCATCCATCCATCCATCCATCCATCCATCTATCTATCTATCTATCTATCTATCTATCTATCTATCTATCTATCTCTGTATTTCTCTCTCTCATATCTCTCTCTCTCTATCATCTCTCTCTATCATCTACCTATCTATCTATCTATCTATCTATCTATCTATCTATCTATCTATCTATATATCATCTACCTACCTGTCTATCTGTCTACCTATCATCTATCTGTCTATCTATCTCGTCAGAGAGATAGACAGATAGAGAGATAGATAGAGAGATCTCTCATCTCTCTCTCATCTATCTATCTATCTATCATCTCTCTCTATCATCTATCTATCTATCTATCATCTATCTATCTATCTATCATCTACCTATCTGTCTATCTGTCTACCTATCATCTATCTATCTATCTATCTCTGTATCTCTTTCTTTCTCTCTAATCTCTCATCTCTCTATCATCTATCTATCTATCTATCATCTCTCTCTATCATCTATCTATCTATCTATCTATCTATCTATCTATCTATCTATCATCTACCTATCTGTCTATCTGTCTACCTATCTGTCTATCTGTCTACCTATCATCTATCTATCTATCTATCTATCTATCTATCTCTGTATCTCTTTCTTTCTCTCTAATCTCTCATCTCTCTCTATCATCTATCTATCTATCTACCTATCTATCTATCTATCTATCTATCTATCTATCTATCTATCTATTTTTCTCTATCTCTCTAATCTATCTATCTATATGTCTGTCTGTCTACCTATCATCTATCTATCTATCTATCTCTGTATATAGCTCTCTCTCCTATCTATCTATCTATCTATCTATCTATCTATCTATCTATCTATCTATCTATCATCTATCTATCTATCTATCTATCTATCTATCTATATCTATCTATCTATCATCTCTCTCATCTCTCTGTATCTATCTATCTATCTACAGTATCTCTATCATCTCTCTCTCTCTCATCCCTCTCCCTCTCTCCCCACCCCTCTCATCGCTCTCTTTGTCTATGGTCACAGACCAGCATAAGACGGGCAAATGCAAGCAATAACTTTAAAAAGTACAAAATACAGGTAATCCTCAACTAACGACCAGAATTGAGCCCCATATCTCCCATATTTGCTGAGCGAGACAGTTGTTAAGTGAGCCCCATTTTACGGCTTTTCTTGCCACAGTTGTTAAGTGAATCCCTGCAGTGGTTAAGTGAGTAACACGGTCGCTAAGCGAATCTGGCTCCCCCGTTGACTTTGGTGCTCAGACGGTCACAAAAGGGATCAGGTGACCCCGGAACTCTGCGACCGTCAGAAACATGAATCAGTTGCCAAGGGTCTGAATTTTGATCACGTGACACATGGAGGCTGCAATGGTCATAAGTGTGAAAAATGGCCCTAAGTCACTTTTTTCCAGTGCTGTCATAACTTTGAATGGTCACTAAATGAACGGTTGTACGCCGAGGACTGCATAGAAGCGCAGAGTGATCTGCTGATTATTGAAGAAGTTTTCATGCTTTGCAAATGGACAATTTTTCCTGTTAACAATCAGCAGATTTCTATGCTGCTGTGCATAGAATTTGAGGGGAAGACAAGGGGGTCTGGGGGGGCGGGGTGTCTCCCTCCCGGGCTGTCCCCTCCTTACCGTGTATAAGCACCATTCTTGGACTGCGGGCTCCGGATCGAGTCCCGGCAGATACTTGCTCACGAAATCCTGCAGGTGCTGGAGGTCGGGCACTGGAGGAGAGACCCCACCCTGCTGGTTGGGTTTGTCGGGGTCCGTAGGGGAGCCGTGGTGATAGCAGACCTGGCAGAAGACAGACAGACAGTCAAGGAGGGGTCCTTGGTGGTCTCTGAGCATGGCTGTTTTCTCACAGACTTTTCGTGACCGAATTAGGTAACGTCATCAGTGCTAGAAGGGAGTGCGGTGTGCAAAATGGAGGAAGAGGAAGAGGAGGAGGAGGGGGGAGGAGGAGGAGGAAGATGACTGTGGGTTCGTTACTGCTCTCTGAGCTTGGCTGTTTTCTTGTCGACATTTCATGACCAAACTAGGTAACGTCATCAGTGCTAGAAGGGAGTGTAGTGTGCAAAAAGGAGGAGGAGGAGGATTGTAGGTTCCTCTCTGAGCTTGGTTGTTTTATTGCAGACGTTTCATTCCCCAACCTGGGGAGCCAAGGATTCGGCCCAAGGGCTGACGGCGGGGGGGGGGGGGGCAGCCCCCGGTGCCAGGACAGAGCGTGAGGCTCATGGCCGCCTCTGGCTGACCAGGCTCAGATTCCCATGATCCACCCTGACCGTGGCGGAGAGGAGATCCGATTGCTCCTTTTTTGTCGGAGCAGAGCAGGCAGAACTGGGGAGGGAGTTAAGTGGGTCATCAGCTTAGAGTTCTTACATTGCCACAAAGGATCTCAATATAAAGGATCTTGAAATCTATTGGCATTTCCCTGGTGCCAGTTAAGTACAGGGAGTCCTCGACTTACAACCATTCCTTTAGTCACCTTTCGAAGTTACAACAGCACTGAAAAAATGTGACTTAGGACCAGGTTTCACATTTACGACCGTTGCAGCATCCCCGTGATCAAAATTCAAGCACTTGCAACTGACTCATATTTATGACTGTTGCAACATCTCGTGATCCCTTTTTTGCGACCTCCTGTCAAGGGGAAGCCAGATTCACTTAACAACCATGTGGCTCACTTAACACTTGCAGGGATTCACTTAACGACGGAGGCAAGAACGGTCGTAAAATGGGGGCAAAACTCACTGAACAACTTCCTCACTCAGAGAAAAAAAGAAATTGGGGGCTCAACTGTGGTCGTAAGTCGAGGACTACCTGCGTAGCACTTGAATTGACTGAGGTCCTTGCCCCGGTGTTGATGCGTTACACTTGGCATCTTCCATCTTGGGGGCAAAGGATGCAGCCACCCATGTGGAGCCGCTTGGCTGCAAAATGAAGCCACCGAGAAGACCCCTCCCCAGTTCCTTGATCTGCTCCAGCCCCTTCCTCCTCACCTTGATCAGATCCGGGTACTCCCCGCCCTGCAACCCGTAGAAATGTTGGTCGTCTTGGTTGAGGCCGATGCCCAGGAAGCACGGAGGATGCCCAAGGAGGCCCTGGGGGCCTGGCACCTTCGCCCGCAGGTAGCAAACTCGGATGCGCAATGGCTGGAAGAGGAAATGGGGCTGAGGAAGGTGGGCTCCTTCGCGGGTCCCCTTCGCGGGTGCTTGGAGCGAGGCAGCCCTGGCACCGAAGTGAATGACCTTGGCAAGGCCGGCTCAACTCTGCCAGTTCGCTCGGGTGGCATTTGCCCTGTTCCCTGGCAGGCAGAAGGAGGGGGTTGAAATTCTACAATTCTCCTGCAAACCGGCACAGGTTTGTCCTCGGACTTACGACGGTTCCTTTCGCGACCGTTCAAAGTTACGAGGGCCCTGAAAAAAGTGACTTATGGTGGTTTTTCACACTTACGACCATCACAAGCTGGGCAACTGGTTCGTGTTTATGATGGTCGCAGCGTCTGGGGGTCATGTGTTCCACTTTTACGACCTTCTGATGAGGTTCACTTAACTGACTTAAGTGATTCACTTAACGACTGTGGTAAGAAAGGTCGTAAAATTGGGCAAAACTCCCTTAACAGCTGTCTCACTTAGCAATGGTAAACTTTGGGAGCTTTAAGACTTATGGGCTTCAACTCCCAGAATTCCCCAGCTACCACGGACACCCCTGGTATTAGGACTCCTGTTTCAATAAGAGAATTACAGAGCGGGAAGGGACTTCGGAGGTCTTCTAGTCCAGCCCCCTGCTCAGACAGGAAGCCCTATATACTATTTCAAACACGCAGCTGTCCAATCTCTTCTTTAAAACCTCCAGTGATGGAGAAGGAAGGAAGGAAGGAAAAAAAGAAAAAAGAGAAAGAAAGAAAAAGAAAAAGAAAGAAAAAGAAAGAAAGAAAAAGAAAGAAAGAAAGAAAGAAAAAGAAAAAAAGAAAGAAGAAAATGGAGCTTCCCTCCTTCCCACATAGCCTTCAATAATACTATGGAAGGAAGAGAGGAAGGGAGAGAGGGAGGGAGAGGGAGGGAGGGAAGAAAAAGAAAGAAAGAAGAGAGAGAGAGAAAGAGAAAGAAAGAGTAACAGAGAAAGAAAGAAAAAGAAAGAAAGAAAGACAGACAGACAGACAGCAAAATGGAGTTTTCCTCCTTCTCACATGGCCTTTAATCATACTATGGAAAGAAGGAAGGAAGGAAGGAAGAAAGGAAGGGAGGGAGGGAAGAAAGCAGTGGAGGAGGAGGAGGGAGGGAGGTTGGGAGGGAAGGAAAGAAAGAAAGAAAGAAGAGAGAAAGAAAGCAAGAAAGAAAGAAAGAAGAGAGAGAAAGAAAGAAAGAAAGAGAAAGAAAGAAAGACAGCAAAACGGAGCTTCCCTGCTTCTCACATGGCCTTTAATAATACTATGCAAGGAAGGAAGGAAGGAAGGAAGGAAGGAAGGAAGGAAGGAAGGAAGGATAACAGCATAACAGAGTTGGAAGGGACCTTGGAGGTCCTCTAGTCCAGCCCCCTGCTCCAAGGGTGGGCAAGGCAGCTGGGACATAAATTGCAGATGTCAAATCTTCTGGGACTCCCAGATTCCCAGAATTGGGGACTCCCCCCCCCAGCCCTCAGCCCCCCCCCCCCAGGCTGCCTGAGACCCTCCGAGACCTCTGACAGAGGTGGGGGTGGTTTAAACTCTGGACTGGACAAAAAAGAAATGATTATGTTGGAGGCAAGTGAAATAAAATGACAATACAGGGAGTTAGATTAACAGATTGACAGAGTTGGAAGGGACCTTGGAGGTCATCTAGTCCACCCCCCCACCCGCCCAAGCAGGAGACCCTATACCAGTGATGGCTAACCTTAAGTGTGTGGGGGGGGGCATGCGCGCGCGACCCCCACCTGCTCCCCCTGCTCCTGGCACGCAATGGCACGGTAGGCCCATTTTTCGCTCTCCCCAGCCTCCAGAGCCTTTCTAGGAGTCTGGGGAGGGTTAAAACTGCCTTCCCCACCCCCCCAGAGGCCCTCGGAAGGCTGGAAATGGCCCGTTTGCTAACTTCCGGTAGGACCAGAAGTCCCGTTTTTTGCTGTCCCCAGCCTCCAGAGCCTTTCTAGGAGTCTGGGGAGGGCGAAAACAGCCTTCCCCACCCCTCTGGAGGCCCTCCAGAGGCCGAAAATGGCCCGTTTGCCAACTTCCGGATCGTGTGCCCACCGATATGGCTAGATGTGCCACCTGTGGCATGCAGGCCACAGGTTCACCATCATGGCCCTACACCATTTCTGATTTTCGACCCCCAAAGGAGCCCAAAAGTTTATGTTTGCCAAGGGAGACGCTTGTCGAATGGAGTTTTGCCCCATTTTGCGACCTTCCTTGCCACCGTCGTTAAGCGACTCACTGCAGTTGTTAAGTTAGTAAGACGGTTGTTAAGTGAGTCTGGTTTACCCGTGGACTTTGCTTCTCAGAAGGTCACAAAAAGGGATCGCGGGACCTTGGGATGCCGCAGCTGTCATAAGTATGAGTCAGTTGTCAAGCGTCTGAATTACCTGACCATCGAAATGCTGCAATGGTCGTAAGTGTGAAAAATGGACGTAAGTCACTTTTTTTCAGTGACGTTGTAACATTGAATGGTCACTAAATGAACTGTTGTAAGTGGAGGACTACTAGCAACCGTTTGAAGTTACAAAGGCACTGGAAACCGGGACATCTGACCAGTCCTCACACTTACGATGGTCCTAATATCCCCGCAGTCATGTGATCAAAATACAGATGCTTGGCAACTGATTCATATTTATGACGGTCGCAGTGTCCGGGGGGGGTCACGTGATCCCTTTTGCGACCTTCTGACAAGGGGGGGGAGCCAGATTCGCCTAACAACCGTGTGACTCACTTAACAACTGCAGCAAGGAGGTCGTAAAATGGAGCAAAACTCACTTAATAACTGCTTAGCATATAATTGCTTAGAAATATAACTGCTTGGGAATTGGGGGGGGGTCGATTGCCGCCGTATGTCGAGGACTACGTCACTGTCTCGGTTTGCAATGACATTTCGGGCTCAATTGCAGTCCTAAGTCGAGGAATGCCTGCAGGGTTCTCTCCACCACCGACCCTCCCTACAGGTGGCCTTTGCACCCCCAATTATTGCTGGTCCTCTGATCCCCATCTTCTATTTTTTTTGGGGTGGGGTCTCCCCAACTTACCTGAAGAGGCAGCTGCAGCCCCAACGGAGCCAGGAGCTGATTCGTCCACGCACCGGCTGTGACCACTAAGCGTTTTGCCTGGTACTTCCCTCGGCTGGTCGTAACTGTGACCACTGATCCCGGGAGGATTTGGAGAACCTTCTCTCCGTCCCTCAAGACCCCTTTGTGCCTCTGAAAGAGGTCCTGGGGGTGGGGGGGGGAATAAGCCAAAAAGAGGTCAGTCTACCAACCCACCCCCCCTCCAGTTTTTCCTTGCACCCACATCCCCAGCGAACGTTTGCACGATCTATGGGGCAGGTGAGGGGGTCAGTGTTTAATGCACATGGCAGGACATTGTCCCTCCACCCCAAAAAAAGAGGGGATGCAGCAGCTTTCCTGGGGGGTTGGGGGGTGAATATTCCCCCGGCCCCAAAGAATAGGCTGGGGAGTTAAATCAGGACAGGGCCTGTGTTCAAAAGATGGGGGAGTGAAGGTGCAAGGAGATTGTGGGGGGGGGGGAGTGAAGGTCTAGAAATCAGAAACTGAATTTAAATGCTCCTGATAGATTAAAGCAGGATGGTCCCCAACCTTGGCTGCTTGAAGAGGGGTGGACTTCAACTCCCAGAATTCCCCAGCCAGCCAGCTTGCTTCTTTTTCTTTTCTTAGCTTTCATTTCCTTCCTTCCTCTCTCTTCTTCTCTTCTTTTCTCTTTTCTTTCTCTTATCTTCCCTTTCTTTTTTATCTTTCTTTTTCTTATCATTTATTTCCTTCCTTCCCTTCCTCTTTTTCCTTCCTTCCTTTTTTCTTTCTTTCTTATATTTTATTTCATCTTTCTTTGTTTCTTTCTTATCTTTCTTTTCTTTCTCTTTCATTTCATTTTCTTTCTTATCTTCCTTTCTCTCTCTCTTTCTTATCTTTCATTTCCTTCCTTCCTCTTCTCTTTCCTTCCTTCTTCCTTTTTCTTTTCTTTCTCTTTTCTTCCCTTTCTTTTATATCTTTTTCTTATCATTTATTTCCTTCCTTCCTTCCTCTTTTTCCTTCCTTCCTTCCTTCCTTCCTTCCTTCCTTCTTCCTTCCTTCTTTCTTTCTTATATTTTATTTCATCTTTCTTTGTTTCTTTTTTATCTTTCTTTTCATTCTCTTTCTCTTTCTTTCTCCTTCATTTCATTTTCTTTCTTAACTTTCTTTCTCTCTTTCTTTCTTATCTTTCATTTCTTTCCTTCCTTCCTCTTCTCTTTTTCCTTCCTTCCTTTTTTCTTTTCTTTCTTTCTTATAATTTATTTCATCTTTCTTTGTTTCTTTCTTATCTTTCTTTTCTTTCTTTCATTTCATTTTCTTTCTTATCTTTCTTTCTCTCTTTCTTTCTTATCTTTCATTTCCTTCCTTCCTTTTTTCTTTCCTTCCTTCTTCCTTTTTCTTTTCTTTCTCTTATCTTCCCTTTCTTTTATATCTTCTTTTCTTATCATTTATTTCCTTCCTTCCCTTCCTTTTTTCTTTCTTCCTTCCTTCCTCCCTTCTTCTTTTTCTTTCCTTCCTTCTTCCTTTTCTTTCTTATCTTCCCTTTCTTTATCTTTCTTTTTCTTATCATTTATTTCCTTCCTTCCCTTCCTTTTTCCTTCCTTTTCTTTTCTTTCTTTCTTATATTTTATTTCATCTTTCTGTTTCTTTCTTATCTTTCTTTTCTTTCTTTATTTCATTTTCTTTCTTATCTTTCTTTCTCTCTTTCTTTATCTTTCATTTCCTTCCTTCCTTCCTCTTCTCTTTCCTTCCTTCTTCCTTTTTCTTTTCTTTCTCTTATCTTCCCTTTCTTTTATATCTTCTTTTCTTATCATTTATTTCCTTCCTTCCCTTCCTCTTTTTCCTTCCTTCCTTCCTTCCTTTTTTCTTTTCCCTTTCTTATATTTTATTTCATCTTTCTTTGTTATCTTTCTTTTCTTTCTCTTTCATTTCATTTTCTTTCTTATCTTTCTTTTTCTTTCTTTCTTCTTTCACTTCCTTCCTTCCTTTCTTCCTACCTTCCGACCTCCTCTTGCTCTCCTTCCTTCTCTCTTTCTCTTTCTCTTTCTCTTTCTCTTTCTTTTTCTCTTTCATTTCACCTTCCTTCCTTCCTTCCTTCCTTCCTTCCTTCCTTCCTTCCTTCCTTCCTTCCTTCTTTCCTTCCCCATTTTATGTCTTTACTCTATCCAACCCTGGTTAGAGCTCAACCCCCCTGGAAGAGCCACCCGCATGGGGATGATGGGAGTTGGAATCCATCCCCTTGAGAGGGGGAAATCCCTGCTGCGTGGCAGGGGGGCTCCTGAGTCGCCCCCTCCTCACAGGCTCTCAAAAGCTGTAAAGATGCTTTTATTTCACCTCCCGGTGACATTTCCTTGTTGGTTTTATGGGCCCGCCTGCCTGTCGACTGAAACGCTTTTCATTCTTCCGTCCTCCTCCTCCTCCGCAAATGGCCCTGTGATGTTTTATTGTGGTGTTTTGATTTGGGCTTGTTTTCATTCTGCCGGGGCCTCTGGAAGCCCTTCGGGCACACAAGAAGCTCTCAACCACCCAGATAATAAAGCTGAATAAAAGGCAGCAGCAACCCTCCCCTCTCCTGGGGTTGGGGATGGGGGGAGGGGACGGGAACGGCAAAAGCCTCCCCGGAGGCTGAGAAAATATTGATTTCCAAGGGGCAGGTTGGCATTTGGGAATGGGAGGGGGGGAGACCCCCTTCCTACCTGGGACTCTCTGTCTGTCTGCCTGTCCATCCTTCCTTCCTTCCTTCCCTCCCTCCCTCCCTCCCTCCATTTGCCTGCCTATCCGCCTACCTGTATATCCATCCATTTATTTATCTGTCTGCTTATTTCTCTTTCTCTCTTATCTATCTATCTATCTATCTATCTATCTATCTATCTATCTATCTATTCATCCACCTATCAATCAATCTATCTTCTGTCCATCCATCCATCTATATCTATCTATCATCTATCATCTATCTATCTATCTATCTATCTATCTATCTATCTATCTATCTATCTATCTATTCATCCACCTATCAATCAATCTATCTTCTGTCCATCCATCCATCTATATCTATCTATCATCTATCTATCTATCTATCTATCTATCTATCTATCTATCTATCTATCTATCTATCTATCTATCCATTTATCAGATCTATCTATCTATCTATCTATCTATCTATCTATCTATCTATCTATCTATCTATCTATCCATCTATCTATCCATCCTCCTATCTATCAATCTATCTTCTGTCCATCCATCCATCTATATCTATCTATCATCTATCTATCTATCTATCTATCTATCTATCTATCTATCTATCTATCTATCTATCTATTTATCGATCGATCGATCTATCTATCGATCTATCCATCCATCCATCCATCCATCCATCTCCCACCTTTATTATTTTAGCATTCATTTGTGCAGTGCCAGGAGAGCCAGTCTGACCCACAGGGAAGGGGCCTCTTTTGTCCAAAGGGCTTACTGGGGAAGAAGGGAAAGGGGGGCATTTCTCTTTACCTGCCCCCGCCCAAACACACACAGTTGCTACCTGCACAGCTCTGAGGGCCTTGTTGGCATACAAGACGCCTGCCGTGAGGTCCGTCACGGCCATCTCCCCGCCGTACGGGTGGATCCCTGGGAACCGGTGGGCCAACTCCTGGGGGGTCAGGATTTCGCATGGCAACCGGTGGTGCTCCATGGTCCGCCTGTAGCTCTGGAACTCGGGGTTCTCCGGGTGTCCCATCACCAGGGCGAGCATCGGCCTGTGGCAGAGGGAGGGCGGTTATGGCAGGGCAGCAGGGTGGGGAAGAAGGCCCAAGGGGCAGAGGGGCAGCCTGGGAAGTGGGAAGGCCAGCACCATCCTGGCTAACAAGACGGATGGCTGCCTGCCTCACTCTGACCCCACCTGCCGGATGAACAAACATTCAGATGCCCATTTTCTTAATGACTTTTAGAGAATTGCATAAAGAACTTGCAGAACTTTTAGAGAATTGCATAAAGAACAAAAAGAATTACCCAGAGAACTTGGCAGGACAAGCGAGGGAAAGCGGGGGGGGGGGGGACCAGCAAATTTGGCAGTGCTAGAAGGGAGGGGGGATTCCGTGGGGGGGGGAGGAGGAGGAAGAAGACTGGGGTTCTTGGGGCTCTCTGAACCTGGTGGTTTTCTTGCAGACGTTTCATGACCCAATTAGGGAACATCATCAGTCCTAGAAGGGAGGGGGGGGTTTGCAAAGAGGAGGAGGGAGGAGGAGGAAAAAGACTGTGAGGTCCTTGGTGCTCTCTGAGCTTGGGTGCCTTTCTTGCAGACATTTCATGACCCAACTAGGGAACATCATCAGTGCTAGAAGGCAGGGGGGGTTTGTGGAGAGGAGGAGGAAGAAGTGAAGGAGGAGGAGGAAAAGGAGGAGGAGGGAAAGGAGGAGGAAGATGATGGTGGGGTCCTTGGTGCTCTCTGAGCTTGGGTGCCTTTCTTGCAGACGTTTCATGACCCAACTAGGGAACATCATCAGTGCTACAAGAGAGGGGGGTTGCAAAGACCTGGAGGAGGAGGAGGAGGAGGAAGAGGAGGAGGAAGACTGGGGTTCTTGGTGCTCTCTGAACCTGGTGGTTTTCTTGCAAATGTTTCATGACCCAATTAGGGTATACCATCAGTGCTAGAAGGGAGGGGGGTTTGCAAAGAGGAGGAGGGAGGAGGAGGAGGAGGAGGAGGAGGAGGAGGAGGAGGAGGCTGAGGAGGACTGTGGGGGCCCTTGGTGCTCTCTGAACTTGGTGGTTTTCTTGCAGTTGTTTTATTAACTGACTAGGGAACACATTAACCGCAAGCAAAGCTGATCTAGAAAAAAATCCTGGCACAATTCGTTCATGCTTGCAACATGACACCAACACATGTCAGCGGTCACGGCAGGGAGGTGGTTCCTGTGGCTTGCATAACCTGGTCAGGTGGAGGCCTTTGGCACACACACACACCCCGTCCCCAGCTCAGTTACACTTAGTGCGCTGGGCAAGGCACACACACACACACACACACACACTTAATTCACCCATTCACATGCCAGCCTTTTGCCCGCCCCGTCCCCAGGGCTGGGACACACAGTGGCCCCTTCACATAGATTGGCACCCAGGTTTTGGATGTCGCCTTCGCATTTTATGCTTTTAACAGGTTGTGTGTTTTCATTTTTAAACCGATTTGATCTGTTTTTTTTTTTTTTTAGCAACGGATTGATAGCTGCACAGAATCGGCTGAATTCGAAATAAATTAAAAGTTTTGTGCATACAGTGTGCTTGGGAGAGTGTGTGTGTGTGTGTGTGGGGGGGTGTTGGGCTAGTACACAACACATGCCGAGCTTGTGCTAATGGCCCAAACTGTATCCTACCAAAGAGGCAACTCTTTGCGTGTGGCTAATATGTTCCCTAGTCAGGTCATGATATGTGCAAGAAAAAAAACTCAGAGAGCATCAAGGACCACACAGTCCTTCCTCCTCCTCCTCCTCCTCTCCTCCTCCTCCTCCTCCTCCTCCTCCTCCTCCTCCTCCTCCTCCTCCTCCTCCTCCTCACTTGTAGCACTGATGACGCTACCTAGGGTCATGGAATGCTTGCAAGAAAACCTCAAAACTGAGAGTGCATCAAGGACCCCACAGTTCTCCTCCTCCTCCTCCTCTTTGCAAACCCCCACTCCCTTTTAGCACTGATGATGTTACCTACTTGGGTCATGAAATGTCTGCAAGAAGACATTTCATTATCTCGCCACTCAGGCAAGAGCATGAGTGGCGCAGCAGACTAATGCTACTGTTAAAAGTAGTATTTAGCTTCCAGCTGTCTGCGATTAAAGTAAGATCGAATCTTGCCAAGGCTCAAGGTTGACTCAGCCTTCCATCCTTCCTAAGGTAGGTAAAATGAGGACCCAGTTTGTGGGGGCAATAAGCTGACTTTGTATAAATATACAAAAGTATGAAGGCTATTGCTTAACGCATTGTAAGCCGCCCTGAGTCTCCGGAGAAGGGCGGCATATAAATAAAAAGAAAGAAAAAAAAGAAAAAAAGAAAAGAAAACCTCCTCCTCCTCCTCCTCTTCTTCTCTCCAATCTCCACTTCCTTCCAGCACTGATGACGCTACCTATTTCGGTAATCAAACGTCTGCAAGAAAACCACCAGGCTCAGAAAGTACCAAGGACCCCACAGTCCCCCACCTCCTCCTTCCTCCTCCTCACCCTCCTCCTCCTCCTCTCCAAAATCCCACTCCCTTACAGCACTGATGATGTTACCTAGCTGGGTCATGAAACGTCTGCGAGAAAACAGTCCAGCTCAGAGAGCACCAAGAACCCCCCCCTCATTCATTTCAACCCTGATTTACAAAGATTCTCCTTCATTGATTGACAGCTGCCATTCTCTCTGGGCACGCGCAGAGGGGCTGATCTCATGCCATGGAGGAAAATGCCCACCTCCCAAAGCTCGGCGTATTTGGGAGCCAGCCCCTTGCCCAGGAGCCCCTTCCCCTTCTCCCAGCTACAAACCATCTCTCTGGATCTGCGTCTTCTTTGGTAATCCGGCACTGTTGTGCGGGAGAAGGCAGAGCCTGGTGCAGGGAACTGGAGGGACCCTAGAGGTCATCCAGTCCAACCCCCCCCACCTTCAGGTCCCCGCTGGGAGATTCACCTGTGCAGCTGAGTGCCCGACTCGGCCTCCAGCCGGGCCCAGAGCTGCTTCGCTTCGGCCATCAGGGCCAGGTAGAAGTCTTGCGGGTAGGCGCTGCGGGTGATGCGGCTTTGGCCGTGGGAGCTTCCTCGCGTGTGGGGCAGCGGAACTGCGGGGACAAAGAGCGGGGAGGGTACAGCAGCCCCTTCGGCTTGCAAACCCGGGCTCCGGGCCCCCTCCCGCTCCCGGGGCTGGGCTGGCCTGGGCAGCGCCGCAGGCAGAAGTTCGTCCGGGCAGCGCCGCCGCTACCTGGTCCAGCAGGAGCGTCTTCAGCCGGCGGCGGGCCAGGTGGTAGGCAGCGCAGGAGCCCTGGATCCCGGCGCCCAGCACCAGGGCGTCCCAGAGCCCGCCGTGCCCCCCGCCGGCCATGGCTTCCGCGACCCTCCTCCCCGCGGAGGGGAAGGCAAAGTCCAGCTGGCTTGGCCGCCGGCCCGGGGCCGCCCTTTGGCAGGAGGGGCGCCGTCGGGGGGGTTGCGATGGCCGGAGCCGGAGCCTGGAAGGAGCCCGGGACTCCCGAAAGTGGGGTTTGTGGGGGTGGGCGCAGGAGATTCAGGATTCGGCCATTCGTATTTAATTGACCAAACTAAGTAACAATTTTAATTAGCAATTTTATGATGTTTGTGTGTCTACATTTTTCTTGACTGTACACCGCCTTGAGTCCTACGGGAGAAAGGCGGTATAGAAATATCATAAATAAATGAATGAATGAATGAATGAATGAATGAATGAATGAATGAATGAATAAATAAATAAATAAATAAATAAATAAATAAATAAATAAATAAATAAATAAATAAATAAATTCTTCCTGCAAAACTCAGCAGCAGCTCAGCTTCAAGGAGAGACGCAACCTGGAAGGAAGGAGGAACTTCCTGACAGTGAGGACAATTAGTCAGTGGAACAGCTGGCCACCAGAAGTTGTGGGTTTCCATCACTGGAGGTTTTTAAGAAGAGGCTGGACAGGCACCCTTCTGAAATGGGATATGGGGTCTCCTGCTCGAGCAGGGGGCTGGACTAGGAGACCTCCGAGGTCCCTTGGAGTCCTAGGATTCTATGATGAAGGAGGAAGAGGAAGGCAGGCAGGAAGGAAGGAAGGAGAGGGAGGGAGGGAGGGACAAAGGAAGGGAAGAGAGGGAGGAAGGAAGGAAGGAAGAAGGAGATGGAGGAAGGAAGGAGATGGAGGAATGCAGGAGGGAAGGGAGAAGAAGGCAGGAAGGAGAGGGAGGAAAAGAGGAAGGAAGGGAGGGAGGGAGGGAGGAGAGGGAGCAAGGAAGGAAGGAGGGAAGGGAGGAAGAAGGCAGGAAGGAGAGGGAGGGAAAGGAGGAAGGAAGGAAAGGAAGGGAGGGAGGGAGGGAGGAGACGGAGGAGGAAGGGAGGAAGGAAGGGAGGAGGGAAGGGAAGGGAGGAAGAAGGCAGGAAGGAGAGGGAGGAAAGGAGGAAGGAAGGAAAGGAAGGGAGGGAGGGAGGGAGGGAGGAGATGGAGGAAGGGAGGAAGGAGGGAAGGGAGGAAGAAGGCAGGAAGGAGAGGGAGGAAAGGAGGAAGGAAGGAAAGAAGGAAGGGAGAGAGGGAGGGAGGGAGGAGATGGAGGGAGGAAGGAAGGAAGGAGGGAAGGGAGGAAGAAGACAGGAAGGAGAGGGAGGAGGAAAAGAGGAAGGAGGGAGATGGAGGGAGGGAGGGAGGGAGGAGATGGAGGAAGGGAGGAAGGAAAGAAGGAAGGAAGGAGGGAAGGGAGGAAGAAGACAGGAAGGAGAGGGAGGAAAAGAGGAAGGAGGAGGGAAGGGAGGAAGGAAGGGAGGGAGGGAGGGAGGCCAATGGATGAAATCTAATCAAAGACAGGACCAACCTAGAATTAAGGAGAAATTTCCTGATGACAAAGAAGGGAGGGGGTGAGGGGGTGTTGACTGTTGCCCTCCCCCTGCATAAATCCCAGTATTGCAAGGACCCCTGAAATTCCCCTCACTAAGCGAGGCAGTTGTTAAGTGAGTCCTTTCCCATTTTACCACCCTGGCCCTTTCTTTGTCAGTTAGGGAAGCCAGGCTCGCTTAAGGACCCGCACGATTCGCTTAACGACTCGGGGGATTTGCTTAACCCAGCATGGCCCTTTTTTGGGGGAGGGGGTGGCATGGTGCTTAAGCAAATCGCCGCAGTTGTTAAGTGAATCGTGTGGCCGTTAAGCGAGTCTGGCTTCCCTTAGTGACGTTGTTTGTGGGAAGCTGGCTGGAAGGCCATCAATGGGGACCAGCTGAACCTGGGATGCTGCAGCTCAACCTAACCCAGTTGCCAAGCTCCCCAATTTTGTTCACGTGGAAGCCCATCGGCTGCTCCTAAGTCTCTCTGTTCAGGGGCCCCGGTCACTAAACGAGTGGCTGTAATTTGAGAACTGCCTGTATGCTTTTTCTAAAACCAACCAACACACAAATAAAACATTTCCCCCTCTTTTTCTAGTGACCCACTGAAGAGCAAGTTCCCCACTACCACCAACACACACACACACACACACACACACACACACACACACACACTGGCATAAAAGACCAGTGGGCTTCCCAGCGCTCCCCCCTCCTTCCCTCCCCCCCTTTGTCCCCCTGCCTGTCACAATTCTGCAAGCCCCTTCCCACCCACTCTCTCGGAAACCTAATCCTGTTTTGGGGTTTGCATTCTCTCCAGCTGCCTTTGCGGCAGTGAATAATTCCAGGGGTGTTCATTGGGGGGGGGGGGGCAGGAGGCTTTTTTCACACGTGTGTGAAACGTGGCACAGCCATGCCCTCAGCAAAGCATGCCCGCCTTTTCACCATCATCCGGTTACATTGGCAGCCTGGTTATTTCTCATTATTATTATTTCTTCTTCCTCCTCCTCCTCTTCTTCTTCTTCTTCTTCTTCTTCTTCTTCTTCTTCTTCTTCTTCTTCTTCTTCTTCTTCTTCTTCTTCTTCTTCTTCTTCTTCTTCTTCTTCTTCCTCCTCCTCCTCCTCCTCTTCCTCCTCCTCTCCTCCTCCTCCTCCTCCTCCTCCTCCTCCTCCTCCTCCTCCTTTCTACCACTGATGATGTTCCCTAGTTGGGTCATGAAATGTCTGCAAGAAAAGCACCTAGCTCAGAGACCCACAGTCGTCTCCTCCTCCTCCTCCTCCTCCTCCTCCCTCCTCTCCTCCTCTCTTCTTCTTCTTCTTCTTCTTCTTCTTCTTCTTCTTTCCTCCTCCTCCTCCTCCTCCTCCTCCTCCTCCTCCTCCTCCTCCTCCTCCTTCTCCTCCTCCTCCTTCTTCCTCCCCCTCCTCCTCCTCTTCTCCTCCTCCTCCTCTTTACTTCTTCTCCAAATTGACTCTGTCTTCATCATTATTTCTCCCCTCTTCCTCCTCTTCCTTCTTCCTTCTCCCTTCTTTCTTTTCTTCTCCAAATTGACTCTGTCTTCATTGTTATTCCTCTTCTTCTCCTCCTCTTCCTTCTTCCTTTTCTTCTCCAAATTGACTCTGTCATCATCATTATTATTCCTCCTCTCCTCCTCTCCTCCTCCTCCTCCTCCTCCTCCTCCTCCTCCTCCTCCTCCTCCTCCTTCCTCCCCTCCTCCTCTTCCCCCCCCCCAGGCCTAGGATGGGGGCCAAAGGGCCAATTACCACTCCATGCAATACACTTAATACAAACTGACATTGATTCATGGCAGGGTGTCTTTGATGAGATTTTTCCTCCCAACAAATGATTCAGACTTTTCATAAGGAATTTCTCAGAATAACCATGAAAGCCTTAACAAAAAATTCGTTTTCACGCCATTGGAGCATCCGGAGGGACCTGGGGAGCCCATTTCACACCCATATTTTTCAGGGAAGCTCCAGAGGAGGCTTCGGAAATCTCCTTCCGCAGCCAAACAGGGAAAGGCTCTGGACTTTTGCAGCCTAAACTCGATGCAGCCTAAAACGAAAGCACTAAAGTGGATTTCAAGACGTTTTATTGAGATGTTTTATTTATTTGCTAGAGTTAAAGCCAAGTTTTTCCCTCAGAGGATTAAGGAGCAAAACGTGGGGTTAATTCTAGCAAATAAGCTTCTAAGGCAGTGTTTCTCAACCTTGGAAGCTTGAAGATGGGTGGACTTCAACTCCCAGAATTCCCCAGCCAGCAGCGCTGGCTGGGGGATTCTGGGAGTTGAAGTCCACCCATCTTCAAGCTTCCAAGGTTGAGAAACACTGTTCTAAAGTGTCCCGGCCTCCAATTTTGCACCCTGCAATGTAAGCTAAGATGGGCCTCACTTGGCTTCACCCCAAAGCAGCTTGGAGTCGTGTTTTGGGGGCTGCCCTAGAAACCAGGAGGCTCTGCCTTAGCCATGAAAGCCAGTCCTCCTCTCTCAGCCCAGCCCACCTCACAAGGTTGTTGTTCTGGGGAAAAGAGGAGGAGGAAGAAGGATTGGGTATGTTTGCTGCCTTGAGTTACTCATAAAAATGATAAAGGTGGGAGATAGATGATTAGATAGATAGATAGACAGATAGATAGATTGATTAGATGATAGATAATTGATCATTGATCATTGATAGGTAGATGATAATGATATAGATAATAATGATAGATACATAGATTAATATTGATTGATAGCTAGAGATAGCTAGATAGATGATAGACATAAACAGATAGCTAGATCATAGATAGATAGATAGATAGATAAATGATAATTGATAATTGATAGGTAGATGATAATGATATAGATAATAATGATAGATACATAGATTGATATTGATTGATAGCTAGAGATAGCTAGATAGCTAGATGATAGACATAAACAGATAGCTAGATCATAGATAAAGATAGATAGACAGACAGAGAGACAGACAGAGCTAGCTAGATCATAGATAAAGATAGATAGATAAATGATAATTGATAATTGATAGGTAGATGATAATGATATAGATAATAATGATAGATACATAGATTGATATTGATTGATAGCTAGAGATAGCTAGATACTGTAGCTAGATGATAGACATAAACAGATAGCTAGATCATAGATAAAGATAAATGATAGACATACATAGATCATAGATAAAGATAGACAGACAGACAGACAGACGCAGATAGCTAGATCATAGATAAAGATAGATAGATAGATAAATGATAATTGATAATTGATAGGTAGATGATAATGATATAGATAATGATAGATACATAGATTGATATTGATTGATAGCTAGAGATAGCTAGCTAGCTAGATGATAGACATAAACAGACAGCTAGATCATAGATAAAGATAGATAGATGATAGACATAC